ATCATGGCTACCCGGACCCCCCACCCCTACCCCATCTTTTTACGCTGCTGCTACTCTGTTAATTATTTATGCATAGTCACTTTAACTCTACCCACATGTACATATTACTTCAACTAGCCCCGCACATTGACTCTGCACCGGTACCCCCCTGTATATATAGCCTCCCTACTGTTATTTTATTTTACTTCTGCTCTTTTTTTCTCAACACTTTTTTGTTGTTGTTTTATTTTACTTTTTTATTAAAAATAAATGCACTGTTGGTTAGTAAGTAAGTAAGCATTTCACTGTAATGTCTGCACCTGTTGTATTCGGCGCATGTGGCCAATAAAATTTGATTTGATTTGATTTATGGCCTCTGACCGAAATTGACAGAGTGGGTACCACTTAAGCTCTGCTCAGAGTTTAACAGGTTGAACCCCTGGTCTAAAAAGCATGTTTTAAAACCATAACAAAACACTCCAAACCAACTCATATTACATCAATCAACAATAAGTTTGGAGTGTTTTGGAGCGTTTTCTAACATGCTTTAGACACATTTTCATAATGCATTTTAATCAATGGAAATGTGACAACCAATTTTCTCTGTAATGAAACAACATATTTAAAAAACAGTTTGGGGGATCAACTACAAGCACAGAAAGAGTGAAAATAAGGCACCATGTAAAAATGAACTTCTCCTTTAATTCTATGGTCATGCATGAGAGATGATCAAGAGGGATAAACCATAAACTATTGAATTGCATTATAGTGTGAATGAAAAACACACTTTTTTTTTTTTTTGGTGTTGATAAATAGCAGCCAGACAGTGTGACAAGATAAACAGTGCGTTCAAAACAACTGGGAACTCGAGAAAATATGAGGTCAAATCATGACGTCAGTGATCTTCAAGGAGGAAAATCGGAGCTCTAGAGGTCCGAGTTCCTGAGTTGGAAATCCGAGTTGGATGACCGTTCAAATCGATTTTTCCCAGTCGGAGCACGTTTTTCCCGAGTTCCCAGTTGTTTTGAATGCATTGTCGGAATTTTGAGATTTCAGAATTCTGAGTTCCCAGTTGTTTTGAACACGGCAACAGTAGACTGTTCACTGATGGAAGTGCTGCAAAATACATTACGTAAATGTTTCCACGACATGACAATGTAGGATACAGGATTTAAATCTATGCAAATTAGGAATAATCCCATTATGTTAATTTAACCCCGCCCTCTTTGCGTGCCCTCCGCCCCCCTCTTCACTACGGTCTGTAGTAGCCGTTGACGGCTCTTGTAGTGACGGAGCAATTCTCCTGTAATATTTTTTCTTTTGTTTTGTGGAAAAAGAAAAAGGAGTACAAGTAAGCCGCTTTACACACTTCAATCTCCAGTATCCCCGCTCTGGTTTTATAATATAAATCAATTTGTAGTTGGAGCTAGCGAGCTAGGGACAGGGTAAACGTTACTTGCTAGCACCAGCGTGAGCAATAAGCTAGTGAGCTAACGTGATTACATTATTCTGCCGTACAACCTCGAGACAAGTCGGGACAAGACCAGGTTAGTAGTTACATCTTGTATTTCCTGATGTAAAAAAATATTATCTAGCTATATTATAGTGGATATGTAACGATGGCAACCGCAAGAGATGTGTGCTAATGAGGCGTCGGCTAACAGTCACTCGCTAGCGAGAATAGTGTTGGTTAGCTAGCTACGCCATTGGCTCAATTGCTGGTTTGGTTCACAACAGGACGAGTTGTAGGGAGACATATTATAGATGGCTAGGTTACTAATTTCGATACATCTCGGTTCGATAGTTATAAAATAATCTGGTTGCACAACAGCCAAGTGTATTTTCACAACGTGGGTGAATGTTCAATGTTTCAACGCAAGTAACGTTAGCTAACTAGCTAGCTTCATTGCTCACCGGTTTGTTCTAAAGCAGATGGGCCTACCCGCACCGCCATTTTGTTTTGTTATCTTAATAAAATGATTTGACAAATCGCCTAGTTCCTAGTATTTGTGCTGTATACAATCCTTATCGAATTAAAACTGAGTTATGATTGACTTACCCACTGTGATTCAAGGAGGAATGCAACTAAGTTCATTTCACAAACTGGATATGCATTACGAAACATCGCAGTCCCCCTCCCAATGTGAATATGGAGGCCGCATTAACTACCTAACTAGCTGTTCAGAGCTAACGTTGGCCACCGTCAATTCGATGTGTTAACAATCATTTTTGTTGAAGCGTATTTTTGGGCTGTGTGTTGGTTTGACCATTGCCTTTGAGTGTACTGTATTAGCTGTTATGATTCTGATGATGACAGGCTGTGTATGGCTGGTTCTGAACTCCTTTCTATGTTAGAAGGCCCTTTCCTGGTGTGTTGTAGCGATGGCTTCCTTAGCTGCCCTGTTAATCCCCGCATAACATGCAGTTTGCCGGCCATCCCACGACCTAATTTTCTAATCTCATCGGGCTATTGAGGCACACAAGGTTTACTGCTATTCGGCAGTTTTTGGGACAATAGTATGACTTACAAGTGTATTTAAGTCAGTAAGGCAATCTTCACTTCATACAAACGTGCATTGAAAAAACCTTGATTTATCATGTGGTGTAGTTAGTGGTGGGTGCCTGCCTGTCTATAATATTGTTGCAGTCTTTTAAATGTGTCCAAGTTATCTTGTCAGTTGCTCTTGTGGTTTGCAGTGCACTATTGAATTGCCCATCTAACATGACACTGTTTATGCTGTTTACTTGCCATGGATCATAACTGTGTTTTCTGTCAAGATTGTCAAGAGCTCAACATTTCAGTTAAATATATGTGTATATACACACACATAGGACTGGGAATTGCCAGGGACCTCACAATACTTAGGTACCGATATGTATTGCGATTCTCAAGATTCTATATGTATTGCAATTCGATACTGTGATTTTATTGCATTTCGATGTTCCAAACATATTGCTCACCATATGTATTCTGCAGAGGGAGGAGAGAGCCATGAGAAAACAAGTTTTGATTAGTCGTGGATATAAATGTGCTGAAATAAATTGGCTCCCTATTTTTTAAAAAGATGGAGGACACGAATACTGGAGATTTGGTGCAGGTACAGCCAACTAGCGCAAAAATATTGTCAAAACGATACGATATATTGTAAAAAAAAAAAAAAAAAAATAAGATATCCTGATATTGTATAGATTTTACTGTTTTTATTTTTTATTTTCCCCATCACTAATATAAAATATGCCATTTAACAGACGTTTGTTTCAAAAGCGACTATCAGTCATGCAAGCATACATTTTTTGTGTACGAGTGGTCCCGGAAATTCAACCCACCATCCTGGCATTGCAAGTGACATGCTCTACCAACTGAGCTACAGAGGACCCCAGTTAAGCATCTGTTCATTTGATATTCATCAACTCATTGTGCAGTTGGCAATTTACCTCTATCTTGTAAAATGACATTGAGGGCAACATTTTCCTCAAACAAGATGGCACTGCCTACAAAGACAGATATTGATTTTGTAATGTTTGATGGGGTTTATACAGAACAAAACTATAAACGCAATATGTAAGTTGTTGGTCCCATGTTTAATGAGCTGAAATAAGATCCCTGACATTTTCCATGTGCACAAAAAGCTTTTCTCTCAATTTCTGTGCACAAAGTTGTTACATCCCTGTTAGTGAGCATTTCTCCTTTGTCAAGATAATTCATCCACCTGACAGGTGTGGCATATCAATAAACTGATTAAACAGCATGATCATTACACAGGGGCACCTTGTGGTGGGGGACAATAAAAGGCCACTCCAAAATGTGCCACAGTTTTGAGGGAGTGTTCAACGTCTTTTAAGAGAATTTTGTAGTATGTCCAACTGGCCACACAACCGCGAGCCCAGGACCTCCACATCTGTCATCTTCACCTGCGTTATCGTCTGAGAAGTGGGGGTGGGTGGGGGGGTTGCGCTGAGGAATATTTATCTCATTTCATTTTAGTCATTTAGCAGACGCTCTTATCCAGAGCGACTTACAGTTAGTGCATACATTATTATTTTTTTCATACCCCCCCCCGTGGGAAACGAACCCACAACCCTGACGTTGCAAACACCATGCTCTACCAACTGAGCTACATCCCTGCCGGCCATTCCCTCCCCTACCCTAGATGACTCTGGGTCAATTGTGCGCCACCCCATGGGTCTCCCGGTCGCAGCCGGCTACGACAGAGCCTGGATTCGAACCAGGATCTTTAGTGGCACAGCTAGTGCCTTAGACCACTGCGCCACTCGGGAGTATCTCTGTAATAAAGCCATTTTGTGGGAAAAAACGAATTCTGATAGGCTGGGCCTGGCTCCCCAGTGGGTGGGTGGGTGGGCCTATGCCCTCCCAGGCCCACCCATAGCTGCGCCTCATGTGAAATCCATAGATTAGGACCTAATTTATTTATTTCAATTGACTGATTTCCTCCTATGAACTGTAACTCAGTAAAATCTTTGAAAGTGTTGCGTTTTATATTTTTGTTCAGTATACATACACATAACAATTCTCTAGCTGTAACCAAATCTTTGAATTGGACAGATGTCAACCTAGTGGTGAGCAGTAAAATGGGCTCAACCCTGGTGTTGCCATGGAGTTAACCCCTCTCAAGGCAGACCTATAAGAACTGAACATCATTTATAATGCATCACCATGGCAACTGTACCATGGATTGCATTATTCTCTCCTTACAGTATTTCCTGTGTTGACGTGTTCATGGCAATGTACTAGCTCTGCTCACACACACAGGTCTCTGTAATGCAATTGCCCTGTCCTGAGCACTGTCCTCCCCCTCTGTCTGCACTACAAACTTTGTCACGCACACACTGCAAACCAAATACTGGATATCTGGACTGGTTTTGTTTAGATACCCGTGTGAACTCAACACCACATTTACCTTCACGTACAGTGCTGCATACATGGTGTCAAATGTCTCCATCTCTTTCTCTCTCTCTCGTCCAGTCTCAGGGCTCACCATACTCAATGAGCGGACAGCGCAATGTCAGAGCGCTCTGGGCAAACTGCAAAGGGGAAGGATGGCAAATCGAAGTATGCATCTCTCAACCTGTTTGATACCTACAAAGGAAAGAGCCTTGAAGCACAAAAGCCTGTTGGTGAGTTTCTCGTTTCCATTGTCCAAGTATTGTGTGTGTGGATAGTGCAAAGCCTCCCTTTTTAAAAGTATAGCAATGTCAGGTGTTGACGTGAGGTGATTGGATCATCGTGTTCTTATCATAGTTGATTGGATTTGTTGATACAAGTTATAATAAACAAGTCATATTATGCAATAATTTTGTCAACATAAGATATATGGGCCGACTTGGTTGTGTATGCACATCATGCACAAACTCCTGAGTGGCGCAGTGGTCTAAGGCACTGCATCGCAGTGCTAACTGTGCCACTTGAGATCCTGGTTCGAATCCAGGCTCTGTCGCAGCCGGCCGCGACCGGGAGACTCATGGGCGGCGCACAATTGACCCAGCGTCGTCCAGGGTAGGGGAGGGAATGGCCGGCAGGGATGTAGCTCAGTTGATAGAGCATGGCGTTTGCAACGCCAGGGTTGTGGGTTCGATTCCCACAGGGGGCCAGTATAAAAAAATATATATATATTCACTAACTGTAAGTCGCTCTGGATAAGAGCGTCTGCTAAATGACTAAAATGTAAATGTAAAAATGTAGTCCACATTTTAGCACGTTGCATCAAATACATGCTTCACGAGAACTGGAGTTACTCATGTAAATCCTGTGTTGGCTTTGGCCCCATTACATATGAATGCCTACATAATTTTTCCCCCTTGATCACTTAAACTGATTCAAAGAAAACGGATTCTTGAGACATCTGTGGCATTGTGTTGTGTGACAACTGCACATTTTAGTGGCCTTTTATTGTTCCCAGCACAAGTTGCACCTGTGTAATGATCATGCTGTTTAACCCTAAGGTCGATGTCCACGCCCCTTGGAAATCGAATTAGCATAATGTAAAAAATCCCATAAATATCCATCCGTTTAAGCTAGAGATATATTTTTTGCGTTGGCTGCGTAACAATCCTCCACAACCGCCTATTAAAAAGTTTATGCCAGTATATATGGAGACAGTTTAGTGCCAAAAATAAGGGGTTAAATACATCAACAACAATAAAAAGTTTCTCATATATAGGACAGACACTTCAGAACAAATTTCTGTTTGATTTGTTTTGGGACTATCTGTTATTCCATGTAGTGAATCTGTTATTCAGTGCATTTGTATGGGCTAATAGCAGTTGGCCCAAAACATTTCTTTCATCAAATAATTGTTATATTTTTTTATACTTCAAGGGGTCTTAAAATTCAAAATCAAATAGCAAAATGATCCTTGGTATCACCTTAAAACAATTCCATATAAAGTGCATACGGAACGCATGCAGACCCCTTTACTTTTTTCACATTATGTTACGTTCCAGCCTTATTCTAAAATGTATTAAATAGTTTTTTCCCCCTCATCAATCTACACACAATACCCCATAATGGGAAAGCAAAAACTGTTATTTCGATTTTTTAGCAAATTTATTAAAAAAAAAACAACAACATTACATTTACATAAGTATTCAGACCCTTACTCAGTACTTTGTTGAAGCACCTTTGCAGCGATTACAGCCTAGAGTCTTCTTGGGTATGACGCTAGAAGCTTGGCACACCTGTATTTGGGGAGTTTCTCCCATTCTTCTCTGCAGATCCTCTCAAGCTCTGTCAGGTTGGATGGGGAGCGTCGGTGCACAGCTATTATCAGGTCTCTCCAGAGATGTTCGATTGGGTTCAAGTCCGGGCTCTGGCTGGGTCACTCAAGGACATTCAGAGACTTGTCCTGAAGCCACTCCTGCGTTATCTTGGCAGTGTGCTTAGGGTCGTTGTCCTGTTGGAAGGTGACCCTTCGCCCCAGTCTGAGGTCTGGAGCAGGTTTTCATCAAGGATCTCTCTGTACTTTGCGCCGTTCATCTATCCCTCGATCCTGTCTCCCAGTCCCTGCCGCTGAAAAACATCCCCACAGCATGATGCTGCCACCACCATGCTTCACCGTAGGGATGGTGCCAGGTTTCCTCTAGACGTGACGCTTGGCATTCAGGCCAAAGAGTTCAATCTTGGTTTCATCAGACCAGATAATCTTATTTCTCATGGTCTGAGAGTCCTTTAGGTGCCTTTTGGCAAACTCCAAGCGGCTGTCATGTGCATTTTACTGAAGAGTGGCTTCCGTCTGGCCACTACCTTAAAGGCCTGATTTGGTAAAGTGCTGCAGAGATGGTTGTCCTTCTGGAAGGTTCTCCCATCTCCACAGAGGAACTCTGGAGCTCTGTCAGAGTGACCATCGGGTTCTTGGTTACCTCCCTGACCAAGGCCCTTCTCCCCCGATTGCTCAATTTGGCCAGGCTCTAGGAAAAGTCTTAAGAATGATGGAAGGCCACTGTGTGCTTTTGGTAACCTTCCCCAGATCTGTGCCTCAACACAATCATGTCTCAGAGCTCTACGGACAATTCCTTCGACCTCATGGCTTGGGACCTTTATATAGACAGGTGTGCCTTTCCAAATAATGTTCAATCAATTGAATTTACCACAGGTGGACTCCAATCAAGTTGTAGAAACATCAAGGATGATCAATGAAAGCAGGATGCACCTGAGCTCAATTTCGAGTCTCATAGCAAAGGGTCTGAATACTTATGTAAATAAGGTATTTCTGTTTGTTTTATTATTATTATACATTTGCCAAAATTTTCTAACAACCACTTTTCGCTTTGTCATTATGGAGTATTGTGTGTAGATTGAGGAACATTTTGTATTTAATCAATTTTATAATAAGGCTGTAATGTGACAAAATGTGGAAAAGTCAAGGGGTCTGAATACTTTCCGAATGCACTGTAGCTTAGTAGAACCCCTCCCCCGGCTTAGACTCTTATGGGTTAATCCGTTTCTTGATATGCCACACCTGTCAGGTGGATGGATTATCTTGGCAAAGGAGAAATGCTCACTAACAGGGATGTAAACCAATTTTGTGCGTATGAAACATTTTCGGGATCTTTTTTTTCAGCTCATGAAACATGGGACCAACACTTTACATGTTGCGTTTATATTTTTGTTTAGGGTATTCTGTTATATAGTTAACAGTGATAAATTCAATTCAATATGTGTTGTATTGAGTAAAAGTGTGAATATCAGTAACCGTTTTTTGTGTAGCACATGCGCATAATGTTTAGAAAACGGGAACAAGGCCACTGAATTGTTCCCTTGTGGTATCGCGATGCTACTCGTGATCGTGATACTTGGCCTGGTATTGTATCGTTAGTAAAATGTTGATATCGTGACAACACTAATGTGTTGTGCAATTTTTGTGAAACCAGATGAGACACTTAGCCTATAGCTGTGTCCTCAGCTGGAATCTGCTGCCCTGTTGCACTGAAACATACCAAGCATTCAGAGTGTTATACATGACTGTGTCATTAAAAGACAGAACTCCAATACATGGTGAGAAGCCATATAGAATATTGCATGGCATTGTTTTGCCTTGGGGCAGTCGATTGCACTGATTGCTAAAAGGTGTCTCTAGAATGATTTCATCATTTGATGAGTCTGAGGAAAAGGTTAACATTAGTTAACGGAATATTCCAAAATTCCTCCCTGAAAAGCAAAATTAGAGTGAATGGGAAGCGATTGACTAACCTTGTATCAACTGTGGTCGCTGGGTGCAGGCCCCGTGGTCTAGGCATATGCAAACTAAATTATAATGTAAAAAATGTTTTGTGTCACACACCTGTGCAGTGAAATTTGGTATTTTACAGGGTCAGCCAAAGTAGTACGGCACCCTTGGAGCAAATTAGGGTTAAGTGCCTTGCTCAAGGGCATATCGACAGATTTTTCACCTTGTCGGCTCGGGTAATTTAACCAGCGACCTTTGGGTTACTGGCCCAACACTCTAACCACTAGGCTACCTGCCGCCTTAACAGGGTTTAATTCCTGTGTCCTCCTTTCCCACTTAGCTCTCCCTCCTCCTAATACGCTACTTGACCAATAGTATGTGGACACCTGAACATCTCATTCCAAAGTCATGGGCATTAATATGGAGTTGGTCCCCCCTTTGCTGCTATAACATCCTCCACTCTTCTGGGAAGCCTTTCCACTAGATGTGGGAAAATTGCTGCTGGGACTTGCTTCCATTCAGCCACGAGTATTAGTGAGGTCGGGCACTGATGTTGGGTGATTAGGCCTGGCTCGCAGTCTACATTCCAATTCATCCCAAAGGTGTTCGATGGGGTTGAGGTCAGGGCTCTGTGCAGGCCAGTCAAGTTCTTCCACACCGATCTCGACAAACCATTTCTGTATGGACCTTGCGTTGTGCACGGGGGCACTGTCATGCTGAAACAGCAAAGGGCCTTCCCCAAACTGTTGCCACAAAGTTGGAAGCACAGAATTGTCTAGAATCTCATTGTATGCTGTAGCGTTAAGATTTCCTTTCACTGGAACTAAGGGGCCTAGCCCAAAACATGAAAAACAGCCCCAGACCATTATTCCTCCTCCACCAAACTTTACAGTTGGCACTATGTATTCAGGCAGGTAGCGTTCTCCTGGCATCCGCCAAACCCAGATTTGTCCGTCGGTCTGCCAGATGGTGAAGCGTGATTCATCACTCCAGAGAAAGCATTTCCACTGCTCCAGAGTCCAATGGCGGCGAGCTTTACACCACTCCAGATGACGCTTGGCATTGTGCATAATATGCCATTTGGCAGACGCTTTTATCCAAAGCGACTTACAGTCATGTGTGGATAAATTTTTACGTATGGGTGGTCCCGGGGATCGAACCCACTACCCTGGCGTTACAAGCGCCATGCTCTACCAATTGAGCTACAGAGGACCACGGTGATCTTAGGCTGCTCGGCCAACTAAACCCATTTTATGAAGCTCAAGACGAACAGTTCTTGTGCTGGCGGTGCTTCCAGAGGCAGTTTGGAACTTGGTAGTGAGTGGTGCAACCGAGGACAGACGATTTTTACGCGCTTCAGTACTCGGCGGTCCCGTTCTGTGAGCTTGTGTGGCTTACCACTTCGCTGCTGAGCCGTTGTTGCTCCTAGACATTTCCACTTCACAATAACAGCACTTACAGTTGACCGGGGCAACTCTAGCAGGGCAGAAATTTGACGAACTGACTTGTTGGAAAGGTGCCATCCTATGATGGTGCCACGTTGAAAGTCACTGAGCTCTTCAGTAAGGCCATTCTACTGCCAATGTTTGGCAATGGAGATTGCATGGCTGTGTGCTCGATTTTATACACCTGTCAGCAACGGGTGTGGCTGAAATAGCCGATTCCACTAATTTGAATGGGTCTCCACATACTTTTGTACATACAGTGCATTCGGAAAGTATTTAGACCCCTTATTCTAAAATGGAGTATAACAAAATCCTCTTCGATCTACACACAATACCCCATAATGACAAAGTGAAAACAGTTTGTTAGACATTTTCAGATGTATTTAAAATAAAAATGAAATACCTTATTTACATAAGTATTCAGACCTTTTGCTACTCGAAATTAAGCTCAGGTGCATCCTGTTTCCATTGATCATCCTTGAGATGTTTCTACAACTTGATTGGAGTCCACCTGTTGACATGATTGTGTTGAGGCACAGATCTGCGGAAGGGTAGCAAAACATTTCTGCAGCTTTGAAGGTCCCCAAGAACACAGTGGCTTCCATCTTAAAATGAAGAAGTTTGGAATCACCAAAGCTGTGTTCGAATACCCATACTAACATACTGTATACTACATACTATATACTATTAGTTCATTTTAGTATACCGTAAACGAACGGTATCCTTTCAGTTGAGCATACTAGCACTTCGCCTGTCTACCGGAAGTTGATGCTGTTGCTATGCAACCTCTTGCTAGCTTGTTAGCATAACAAATTACTAGCTAGACATCTTACAATTTTGGGTGTGTTCGTAAATTCAATCTGGAGTACCAAAGTGCACTCACCGAAAGGACTCTGACCATGAGAACCAAGATTCTCTGGTCTGATGAAACCAAGATTAAACTCTTTGGCCTGAATGCCAAGCGTCATGTCTGGAGGAAACCTGGCAACATCCCTACGGTGAAGCATGGTGGTGGCAGCATCATTCTGTGTGGATGTTTTCCTGCGGCAGGGACTGGGAGACTAGTCAGGATTGAGGGAAAGATGACCGGAGCAAAGTACAGAAAGATCCTTGATGAAAACCTGCTCCAGAGCACTCAGGACATCAGACTGGGGTGAAGGTTCCCCTTCCAACAGGACAACAACCCTAAGCACACAGCCAAGACAACGCAGGAGGGGCTTCGGGACAAGTCTCTGGATGTCCTTGAGTGGCCCAGCCAGAGCCCGGACTTGAGAGGATTTGCAGAGAAGAATGGTTGAAACTCCCCAAATACAGGTGTGCCAAGCTTGTAGCGTCATACCCAAGAAGACTCCAGGCTGTAAATGCTGCCAAAGATGCTAAAACAAAGTACTGAGTAAAGCGTCTGAATACTTATGTAAATGTGATATTTCAGTATTTTTTAAAAATTATTATAAATTTGCAAATTAATATTTGGTAGACTCACTTTTTACAGAGGGTGCCCCATGTAAAATGGCGGATGCCTTTCCAACGTTGCTTGAGCACAATACTTTTTTTCTACTGGCCTCGAGCAAATAAAAACTAAAATCTTCTATGCAGTTGAAGGCAACTGTTGTAACGCGTTTGCTACATATTAGGGATGGGCGCGGTTATTTGAATATCCGAATGGACGTTAGTATTCTATTACTTGGGAGAGTATTCACAATTATTTTTTTGACATTGCTACATAGCCTACAAGAATAAACCATTACATTTGACATTTTAATACGTTTTATGACAGTTTTTGTGAATGCGCCCCATTAAAAAAGACTCACTGGTAGCCTACACGTGTAGCTTAATGTCAATGTCGGTAAATCAAAGCAGCGCTACAGTCAAAGGCTCCATGTGTAGCAAGTGAAGTGGGAGATTTCTAATCAATGCAAAATGGAATTAAAATTAGGGAATTAAGTTGGTTAAGTGAGGAGTAGGCTAGTGTTTCATATGAATGAAGTTGTTGTAGACATTGGACGGGGAGTGCAACAAAATATCCTCAATTAGCCTCGCTACTTTAGCTAGCTAGCTGGCTAACTTGGCTAGCTAGCTAGCATCTTTACAACAATTTGATGCAGTCAAGACAGGCACTACCAGATGGTATGATAGACAAACTTGTTGCTGCCATAGGTTTTCTAACTAGCGTTAGTCGGTTTTGTTACTTTCTCTCTCCCTCCATGTATAGACTGTCACACACACCAGCCCTTGCTCCTCTCTCGCCCCTCCCCCACATTCTGCTGAGTTGCGCGAGCAAGTCTCCATTAGAAGTTTCTATCCAAAAAATGTCCCTTTAAAACACATGTATTCCAACTATCCGGATATCCGAAAAAATATTGAGACGACATTCAAATACCGAAATCATTTCAAATGCCCATCCCTATTAATTAGAACCCAGCATATGTCAACTCTTGTTGTAACGCAATTCTCTGCAGTTCTTGCGGCGTCTTTATCGAATGCATACATATTGTGTCGGCTATCACCACTGTCGTTCTCATGCCCCCCTCTCCCCTCCCATTGGTTCTCAGTGGTCTCAAGTTACTGTGGTCTTTCTGCTAATGACCTCGTCTCCCCCCTCTCTTCCTCCCCCTCATCAGTTCCCCCCCGCCATGGCCTGCAGTCTCTTGGTAAAGTTGCCTCCGCGCGGCGCATGCCACCCCCTGCCAGCCTGCCCAGTCTGAAGGCAGAGAACAAAGGCAACGATCCCAACGTCTCGCTCGTTCCCAAAGACGGCACAGGATGGGCAAGCAAGCAGGAACCAGCAGACCCAAAGAGGTGAGGAGGCCCCCTTGACATACTACCCATGAGGCGCTCTATAGATTTGAATATACTAAATCCTTCTCAGTTTCCGCTCTGTATACACTGATCTTTACTATGTTATGTGGTTGGGTATTATTGCCTCTTGTTTAAAGTATACACCTGCCCAGAACTTCAATTTAATCGATTTCTCATCAATGTTTATGATTTATCTGAATTAGGAGGATTCTCTGCAGTAAAAAAAATGAAAAAGAATTGACTAGCACATCTGTGATTTGAATGCACAGATGCTACCTTATCTCAAGAAATGGTAGCAATAATTCTGTGGAACATCGCTAATAGGCCCCTACTAGCTCGGTAATTGGCAGAATTGTCTCTGTCTGTCTGACTGGCGCGTCTGACACTTACCCATCTGGTGTTTCTCTTTTTTTCTCTCCTCTCTCTTTCTCTCCTCTCTCTTTCTCCCTCTTTCTCTCTCTCTCCGTCTCTCAGTACCGATGTATTATCAGCACCGCAGCTGGAGTCGCAGCAGCCTGTGGTTTCACAGACGCCTGCACCGATCCGCCCGAGAACCCCGCCAGCTCCAGAGGTACACGCACCAATTCGATGCCAATGTAAACTGAAACACAAAATGGTTCTATAATGCTATGGTGCTTAATGTTGTGCTGTTTTGTGTGTCTCTCAGGTTCTGCCTCCGGTTGCGGCCACGGTTTCAGCCCAGGCCGCAGGGGCAAGGTCCTGGGCTCAGGCCAGTGTTACACATGGAGCACAAGGAGATGGTGAGTACCAGACTTCTTTACATCTGCCTGTCACTTCTCTCTCCCTTCATATGGGTATTTTGCAGCGGACTTGACTGCCGCATCAATGGCCTAACTAACTCCATTTGGACATTTGACATTGAGTAACCCCTCTCTCTCGCACCATACAGGTGGAAAGGGATCAAACCAACGGTCGCCATTCTCTCGCGAGGAATTTCCCACCCTGCAGGCGGCTGGCGACCAGGACAAAGCTGGCAGGGAACAGGGCACTGCAGATCAGTTGTATGGGCCCGGACCAAGCCTCCGCCCCCCGAGTGAGTAACGCTAACGCTCATCTCTGTATAGTTTATTATAGACCACACGTACAGTGAAGAGGGCTGCTGACAGAACAGAAGAAGCAGTGGTCAGAGCAAGTGCTTATTTTAACAACAACTATGGTTGCAAAATTCCGGTACCTGTCCTAAAATTCCCACATTTTTCAGAAGTCCCAGTTGTAGGATTGCCAGTTGGAGGATTTACCTCCCTGCTTATTCACGACTGATACTGAGAATCCTCCAACTGGGATAAAAAAAAGAAGGAATTCTGGCAACGTTTCTATAACTAGGACATCAGCTAAGGCATGTTTATATTGCATGTCTAGTATTTATTCCTGAATACAAACGCTGGTGTAAGTGGCTCCTATTCCCATCAATTTTTTACCTATTTTCCTCGTTTTCCCTTTCTCTCCCCAGACATGACGAGCTGGCGGGACGGTGGGGGCCGTGCCCTGGTGCCCACCGGAGAGGGGGTCGAAGAGGGTGGCCCGGGCGGGGCGCTGGCAATGGAGGGGGCGGCCGGTGGTGGCCAGGCAGGCCCCCCTCCTCTCCAGCAGCAGCAGAACCTCCAGTCCCATGGGCCGCCTAGGAACCCCCCTGCCGGCAGCCCTGGCTTGCCCCAGCCCCCCATGGGCCCCGGGTTTCCCCAGTACAGAGGGATTATGCCTCCATTCGTAAGTCTACTCCTGAGCTGTGTTCGAATACTCATACTAACCATACTATTTGTGAAGGAAATTGAGTATATAGTATGCTTATTGGTCATAGTATGGATATAGTTAGTATGCCAAAAGTTCCCAGATGTCGTACTACATTCGCCAAAATACGTAGTATACAAGCAGTGGACACTATTTCCATGCTTTTAGGGCCCATAATGCAATTCTTTAGAAAATGGGTGTGGCTTCACAACATTTTCAGATTTGAAGAAAATGGCGGAAAATATGCAGCCGAAGTCCGAGAGCGGATACAAATTCATTGCTTTAACTAATTATGACAAATGTTAAGAAAATGTAATAAAGTGATGACTTTTCAAATAAGTTACCTGACACGTTATGTTGGTTGACAATTTGTTAGCTACGCATAGCATATCATTACAGCATTATGTACCGGTATGTTGGCTAGCTACCTAACATTAGTTGGCTTTCCAATACATCGGAATTGCCAGTATATTAACTATATGCTATCTAACTAACTACCCAACGTTTATTGACTTGCTTATTCTTAGTTTAGGTAAGTGGTATAGTCGTTCTCGTTCTCAATGGACATTCGGGTGGATTCGTAAATTCGCTCTGGCTATCTACTCCGATTTCAGAGCACTCTCGTCTGACGTGTACCCGTGCCAGAGCACAGATTAACTGATTAATTTACGAACGCTCAATACCAGTTGAAAATGGCCAGTGTCAATAAACGTCTGCAAAAAAGCATGATTAAATTTATGGCCGGTGTCAATAAACGTCGGCAAAAAAGCGTGATTAAATTGTTGCCAGCAGCACAGTTACAGCCACCAACGCTCTGGATAACATGAAGACAGCCTAACCAGCTCTGCTAGGGCGAGTGAAATGGTCAGAGTGAGGGGCGAGTAAAATGGTCAGAGTGAGGTGTTCTCTCATTTGTGTCTGGAAGTAGCTAGCAAGTTAGCCAGTTAGCTTGGGTGCTTGACTGCCGTTAAGTCAGAATGCTCTGATCAACCCTACTCCTTGGCCAGAGCGTCCAGTGTGCGCTCTGAACGCTCCGAGAGTGAAATGCTCTGAATTTACGAACGGACAATCTGACAACTCTCTGAATTTACGAACGCCCAGAGCGCACTCTGACACTCCAGATTGAATTTAATAACACACCCGAAGTCGTGAAATGTCTAGCTAGTAATTTGTAATGCTAACAAGCTAGCAAGAGATTGCATAGCAACAGCATCAACTTCCGGTAGACAGGCGAAGTGCTAGTATGCTCAACTGAAAGGATACCGTTCGTTTACAGTATACTAAAATGAACTAATAGTAGATCGTATGTAGTATACAGTATGTTAGTATGGGTATTCGAACACAGCTCTAGTGTAATCTCTGCATGTTTGCTCACAGCTCTATCTATTATAGCTACAGTGCATTCAGAAAGTATTCAGACCATTAACTTTTTCCACATTTTGTTACATTACAGCCTAATTCTAAAATAGATTAAATTGTTTTTTGTACACACAATACTCCATAATGACGAAGCAAAAACATTATTTAGGAAATTATTGCACATTTATAAATAAATAAAACTGAAATATAAAGTTTACATAAGTATTCAGACCCTTTAGTCAGTACTTTGTTGAAGCACCTTTGGCAGCGATTACAGCCTCGAGTCTTCTTGGGTATGACGCTCGAATGCACTGTATGTTTCCATCCATTTGTCAAAGATTTTCAAGTGACTAGACAAACTGTGGCACAGAAACGGTCTTAGAACATCTCACTGTTAGAGGTGTACACACAGGTGGGCTCTGCAACCGGTGTAGCAGCAGTGTACTGTCAATCTCTGCATTTGTGCATCTCAGGGTCTCTAAATCTCTTCTATCCTCTCTCTCTTTCTGTGTCTCTCTCTGTCTCAGATGTACCCTCCTTACCTGCCCTTCCCGCCTCCCTATGGCCCCCAGGGGCCCTACAGGTATCCCCCGCCTGGTGAGGCCCCTCCCAGGTTTCGCCAGCAGGGTCAGGACGGTCGCGGGCGTCCCCAGGGCGGTCCCCGTGGTGGGGGAGGAGAGATGGTGAAGAGACCCTCAATCCTGAAGCAGGACGACCTGAAGGAGCTAGATGAACTTGACCACCAGGACGGAGACGAGGGCTGGGCAGGTGAGAGAGAGGAGACGTCAGGACTCATGAACACTTATAACTATTGGTAGAGTATACTGTTCAGAGAGCAGTGGCAAGTGTAAAAATGAATAATAGAGACCTGTACACTGTTAAATTGATATGAGAACATTCCTAAAACAACATGCGAAAATTATGACTGGATAGCCTGAAAGTATTACAAGGAAGCCAGCCAGCTTCATTATTTTTCAATCCGAGATACATTCATTCTCTATCATATCAATTGTATGATGCTGATATGGTGGGAGTTTGCTAATACGTGGAGAAACAAAGTGAGTATCACATTTGACTGCATCATCTCATGGATCCAGTAGTGCTGCGCGTGGGGGAGGGGAGACATATCAGGTTTATCCAAGTGGGGGAGGGAGAGATGAGAAGGATGCATTGTTTCAAGTCTCCCTCGTGTGTGTGTGACTGTGTATAATGGTCGAGGATGGCAACGGTACAAATGCGTTCCACATGTCCATTGCGCTTCCTCTCTGAACCGTTGGGTCTGTCAAATAAGGGGCACACGAGGAGATCGACTACTCGGCCAAGTTGAAGTTCAGCGATGATGAAGGGGAAGAAGAGGGGGATGAGGAGAGGAACGAGAGACCCGAGAGGAGTGAAAGAAGCGAGAGCAAGAACGGCTCACGGTATGTCCCACAGTACCTGCCCAACATAACAGATTGACATGGTGTGGAAAATACAGTTTAAACGTTTAAATATTTTTGTACTGTGCTGTGCTAGCAATCCTCCTCCTTTGTGCCATGAAGACCAATACACCCACATAAATTGTTTCTGAATTAATGAATGACGGAGCCAGAAAATAACAAATTCATGAAATGGTTGTTGCATGTGGGATTGCTTTTGACGTTACACACGTGTCGTCTCTTATTTCCTTCCCCAGGGAGATACAGAGGTCTCAGGAAGGTCCCCCTCAGGTGGTCCAGCGCTCCCGAGCCTCTGACAGCGGAGGGGACAGGGACACCCGCCGCACCCCTCCCTCCAACGCTGACCACGACGGCCCCCCACCCCCCTCCAGCAAGCCAGGATGGGCCGAGGAGGGGGGCAACAGCGGCTGGGGGGGCCAAGGCGCCCATGCCACCTACCAGGTACGACCCTCGGCAAGGGCTAGACTAGTGGACGTTCAGAGGCAGCTTAGGGCTAATATGCAAGTGAACAGTGACCATTTTATTGTAAAAGCAGGATTGCTTTGAGGACATGGATATTAGTGTATTTAGCGTAATGGGTAACTAGATTCGTCTGGCTAACTGTAACCTGTGGCTGCCTGTACACTACAGGGACGTAGGTCTGGACTGGGTGGCCCCCGGGAGCAGCCCTCCCCCCCACCAGGGTCTCTCCTCCACCAGGGACAGGGGCCTTACTCCTACTACCGACAGGTATCTGCCTATCTGGGGAGAGAGAGGGCCTCGTGTTTATATTTTATATATATATATATATATGAGAGAGTGTGTGTAGAAAACATTAGGAACACCTGCTCTTTCCATGACCGACTGGGTGAATGCAGGTGAAAGCGATGATCCCTTATTGATGTCACTTGTTAAATCCACTTCAATCAGTGAGTGCATTCAGAAAGTATTCAGACACCTGACTTTTTCCACATTTTGTTACGTTACAGCCTTATTTAAATTGTTTTTTCCCCTCATCAATCTACACACAATACCCCATAATGACAAAGCAAAAACAGATTTTTAGAAATGTTTGCTAATGTATTACAAATAAAAAAACTGATGACATTTACATAAGTATTCAGACCCTTTACTAAGTACTTTGTTGAAGCACCTTTGGCAGCGATTACAGCCTAGAGTCTTCTTGGGGATGACTCTTCAAGCTTGGCACACCTGTATTTGGGGAGTTTCTCCCATTCTTCTCTGCAGCTCCTCTCAAGCTCTGTCAGGTTGGATGGGGAGCGTCGCTGCACAGCTATTTTCAGGACTCCAGCGATGTTCGATCGGGTTCAAGTCTGGGCTCTGGCTGGGCCACTCAAGGACATTCAGAGACTTGTCCTGAAGCCACTCCTGCGTTGTCTTGGCTGTGTGCTTAGGGTCATTGTCTTGTTGGAAGGTGAACCTTCGCCCCAGTCTGAGGTCCTGAGTGCTCTGGAGCAGGTTTTCATCAAGGAGCTCTCTGTACTTTTCTCCGTTCACCTGTCCCTTGATCCTGACTAGTTTCCCAGTACCTGCCGCTGAAAAACATCCCCACAGCATGATGCTGCTGCCACCACCATGCTTCAATGTAGGGATGGTGCCAGGTTTCCTCCAGACATGATGCTTGGCATTCAGGCCAAAGAGTTAAATCTTGGTTTCATCAGACCATAGAATGTTGTTTCTCATGGTCTGAGAGTCCTTTAGGTGTCTTTTGGCAAACTCCAAGTGGGCTGTCGTGCCTTTTACTGAGGAGTGGCTTCCGTCTGGCCACTCTACCATAAAGGCCTGATTGGTGGAGTGTTGCAGAGATGTTTGTCCTTCTGGAAGGTTCTCCCATCTCCATAGAGGAGCTCTGTCAGTGATCATCGGGTTCTTGGTCACCTCCCTGACCAAAGCCCTTCTCCCCTGATTGCTCAGTTTGGACAGGCGGCCAGCTCTAGGAAGAGTCAGGGGTGTCAAACTCATTTTAGCTCAGGGGCCACATGGAGGAAAATCTATTCCCAAGTGGGCCGGACCGGTAAAATCATGGTATATATATAACTTAAAAACAACAACTTCAGATTGTTTTCTTTGTTTTAATACGATCAACATAAAACATAAAGCTGGAGCCTGAGGACAGTGTGTCCAAAATAGTACAAGCACAACATCACTATTTATCATAAAACACCTCAAGTTTATTTGAAAATTCTAAAGAAAAAGAACACACAAACACACAATGCCTCAGTGATTCACAGAACTGTTTCACAGATCACAGAACTATATCAGGGTGTCATTTCTCAGGCAGAAATGTAGATAAAAATAATGAAATCCTGTTCCCCAAACAAGTGCAAGAACCACAGAGTCAAGAATAGGTTAAATATACAAATAAAATAAAAACAATTAAAAACAATAGTACATCAACATAAAAACATATAAACATAAAGTTGGAGCCTGAGGACAGTGTGTCCAAAAGCACAACATCACTATTAATCATAAAACACCTAAAGTTATTTGAAAATTCTGAGGACAAAGAACACACAAACACACAATGCCTCAGTGATTCACAGAAGTATATCAGGGTGTCTCATGCAGCACTTTAAGTGGGGTTGCATAGTTTATTTGACTCCTGATACCTGGCATCTTTTAGCTTTCACCAGCGCATCAATATCAGGCGTCACATCCTGAGTGGCAGCCAACTTCAGGATGTGATTCAAGTGCTTGTGCGTGAGCCTTGAGCGCAGCTTTGTTTTATTTATGCTCATTACAGAGAACTTGCTCACAAAGATATGTGGTTCCAAACATACACAACAGTTTTGCAGCGAGGGCTGTCAAGTTGGGGTAACCTGGCAAGAGATTCTGATAACATGTGTCCAAGCCAGCTGCGGCAAATTTGCCCTTCAAATCCGAGTCACACTGCAAGTCTATTATTTCAAGTTGGATGCTGACGGGCAGATCAGAGGGATTCACGGTGAATGGCGAGCAAAAAACTTTGAAGTCTTTCTCCAGTTCACCAAAAATCTGAAAGCGTTGCTCAAACTCCCGTAACAGTCCTGTTATTTTATCTTTGAACCGCTTCATGTCTGCCACATGTTGGGTTGCGCACACATTTTTCAGACGGGATGTGAGCTGCATCACCACCGGCGAGTTGCGTCTCCCAAAATGACAGCTTCAACTTGAAAGAACGTATGCTGTCATAATACTGCGTGACAACTTTGTTGCAACCTTGCAGCTGTTTGTTCAAGTTATTCAGGTGCTCTGTAACATCCACCATAAATGCAAGGTCCTGCATCCATTCTGCGGAATGAAATTCTAACACTGGTTTGCCCTTTTCTTCCATGAACTGTTCAATTTATTCTCGTAAATCAAAGAAACGCCTCAGCACCTCGGCTTAACCATCTTACCTCAGTGTGGTATGGCAGGCCATAAATGTGGTCTTTCTCTCTGAGAAGGCTGTCAAACTGACAGTGATTCAGGCTTCTGGATCGGATGAAATTAACAGTTTGGATGACCACCTTCATGACGTTATCCATCTTTAATGACTTGCAACACAAAGCCTCCTGGTGCAAAATACAGTGAAAAGTCCAAAAATCACATCCTCCATTTGCAGATTGCACTTTCTCTCTGAACTTTGTCACAACGCCTGCTTTTTTCCCGATCATTGAGGGCGCACCATCTGTAGCCAGGCTGACAGCGCGGGACCAGTCCACTCCGACCCTGTCCAGCGCGCCGACGAGTGCGGTGAAAATATCAGCTGCTGTCATTGTATCTGTCATCGGCACCAACTCCACGAACTCCTCGGTGACGGTCAATGTGTCATCAACTCCGCGGATGAAAATGGCCAGTTGTGCAACATCTGTAATGTCCGTGCTTTCATCAATTGCAACCGAAAACGCAATAAATGACTTTACTTTTTGCTTCAACTGGTTGTCCAAATCCACTGAAAGATCGGAAATCCTGTCTGCAACTGTGTTTCTTGTCAGGCTGATATTTGCAAAAGCCTGGCGCTTTTCAGGGCACACAATCTCCGCTGCCTTCATCATGCATGTTTTTACAAATTCACCCTCACTAAATGGTTTTGAAGCCACTGCGATTTCATTAGCAATGAGGTAGCTAGCTTTCACTGCAGCGTCACTGATGTCTCGGCTGTGAGTAAACACAGACTGCAGTTTCTTCAGACCCGCCAACAGTTCATTCACCTTATCTCTTCTCCGCTGTCCTTGATAGTTGTCATATTTGTCGGCATTAAGACTCACATAGTGGCGACAAAGGTTATATTCTTTCAGCACTGCAACATGCTGTGAACACACCAAACATACAGCTTTCCCATTCAATCCCGTGAATAAATAGGAGGATGACCATTTTTCTTGGAACACTCTGCACTCTGCGTCCACTTTTCTCTTTTTTGACAGAGACATATTGGGGCAATGAGGGTGCCAAAGCACATAATGTTAAAAGTAGAAGCCGTGATAAATATTGCGGGCAAAACAAAGTAGCTCATCCGGACTGGCTGCACTTGCTTGACCTACTTGCTCTGCCCCGGTATAAACAGTTTGCTTGCTTCACACAATTGCTATTGCGCCATCCAGTGGACGCAATTGGAACAGCAGTTTATTTTATTGATTATAGCTAATTTTTATACTTTACAAAATCATCTCGCGGGCCGGATTAAACCTGTTTGCGGGCCTGATCCGGCCCACGGCTCGGACGTTTGACACCCCTGGTCTAGGTGGTTCCAAACTTCTTCCATTTAAGAATGATGGAGGCCACTGTGTTCTTGGGGACCTTCAATGCTGCAGACATTTTTTGATACCCTTACCCAGATCTGTGCCTCGACACGATCCTGTCTCGGAGCTCTACGGACAATTCCTTCGACCTCATGGCTTGGTTTTTGCTCTGACATGCACTGTCAAATGTGGGACCTTATATAGACAGGTGTGTGCCTTTCCAAATCATGTCCAATCAATTGAATTTACCACAGGTAGACTCCAATCAAGTTGTAGAAACATCTCAAGGATGATCAACGGAAACAGGATGCACCTGAGCTCAATTTCGAATCTCATAGCAAAGGGTCTGAATACTTATGTAAATGAGGTATTTCAGTTATTAATTTAATACATTTGCAAAAAATTCTAGAAACCTTTTTTCGCTTTGTAATTATGGGGTATTGTGTGTAGATTGATGAGGAAAACAATGTATTTAATCAATTTTAGAATAAGGCTGTAATGTAACAAAATGTGGAAAAGGTCAAGGTGTCTGAATACTTTCTGAATGCACTGTAGATGAAGGGGAGGAGACTGGTTAAAGAAGGTATTTTAAGCCTTGAGGCCATTGATGCTTGGATTGTGTATGTGTGCCATTCATAGGGTAAATTTACAAGACAAAAGATTGAAGTGCCTATGAATGGGGTGTGGTAGTAGGTGCCAGGCGCAACGGTTTGTGTCAAGAACTGCAATGCTGCTGGCTTTTTCACGATCAACAGTTTCCTGTGTGTATCAAGAATAGTCTACCACCCGAAGGACATCCAGCCATCTTGACACAACTGTGGGAAGCATTGGAGTCAACATAAGCCAGCATCCCTTTGGAACATTTTCGATACCTTGAAGACTCCATGCCCTGACTAATTGAATGTTTTGAGGGCAGAAGGGAGTGCAACGCAATATTAGGAAGGTGTTTTTAATGTTTTGTACACTGTGTATATCCGTACAGCATTTTCACATGCTTTTTTTGCAGTTCAGTTATTTGAGTTGTTCATACCATCCTAGGAAAGTTTTTTTCTTCATATTGTAGCCGAGTTTGTTGTCGTGTGTGTCCTCATTCAATCTCTCCTCACCCAGGACCGCAACTCCCCTAATCAGTCCGGCCCGGTGGTAGCCCCTGAAACTGTCTCTGCCTCCCTGGCCCCCGGGAAGCCCGCCCCCTCCTCGCAGCTCCAACAGCAGCAGACTACTTCCCCAGTCCCCGGAGGCCCCACCCCTCCACCTCAGACTACCGGCCTGCTTGCCCCGCCCCCGGGCGAAGACGAGGACGAGACGTGGCGCCAGCGCAGGAAGCAGTCCTCCTCTGAGATCTCGGCCGCTGTTGAACGTGCCCGCCGGCGCCGAGAGGAGGAGGAGCGAAGGATGGAGGAAGAGCGGCGCGCGGCCTGCGCTGAGAAGCTGAAGAGGCTGGATGAAAAGGCCCAGCAGCAGGGTGGTGGTGGGAGCAGCGGAGGCTCCAAGCCCTCCAGTCTGGACGGCAATTCCACCACGGCCGGATGCCCCAGCCCTTCACTGTCTGCCACGGCCTCCTCCCCCAACATCAGCCAGCCCCCGTCCCCCTGCGTGGACCTTGAGGAGCCCCCCCTGGCTGCCCAGGCTGTGACCAGGGACCTAGTGCCAGGGCCCAGTCCCACCGACAGACAGAGGGCCAATAGCAACAGCAGCTATGACTCCAATGCTGGTGAGTTTTGACTAGAGCTGTGGAGGTCATGAAATTGTCAGCAGGTGATTGTCATGCAAATAACTGCAGATCGCACGGTAATTTACCATTAATTAACATGTTTAGCATCTCCTGGCTTCCATGCATAGCCTACAAGCCAATGACGCGGCGCTTTGGAACATCCATATTTTAAAGTCTAATAAATCAATTTAATAAAGCCTACACATCACAATAAATCTGTTATTTATTTTAGACAGGTCTAAAGAATCATGAAATGAAGAAAATATTGCCTATTTCAGAAGAACAGAATAGCATATTCTGAGTCGTCCTTATGTTAGGCGCTGATCTGGCTATGCCTTATAGCTGTGGGCTACACTAGTTGAGACAAGATTTGCATATCATTCCCGTGGCATTATTTTATAGTAAGAAGAATAAGGCATGAGCTCTGCTGTTTCTTGCGCAGGCTGCACACACTTCATCAGTCTTTCATTCACCATTGGACAAGCACTTGATAATATCTCACCCATCAGACTATTCTCAATTTAATCTGGTCTTTACATATAGCCTAATAATATATGTGTGGAATTATTTTTTTATTTAGAATGCCCCCATGTCATCCGTAGCAAATGGACTTTACGTAAAGTTTAGTTTTTAATATGCCAGCATAGGCGGCGCATCCATAAGGCTAGGGGAAGCTAAGCTTTCCTAAAGTAAATTGAATTATACTGAACAAAAATATAAACACAACAATTTCAACGATTTTACTGAGTTACAGTTCATATAAGGAAATCAGTCAATTGAAATAAATGAATTAGCCCTAATCTATGGATTTCACATGACTGGGCAGGGGCGCAGCCATGGGTGGGCCTGGGAGGGCATAGACCCACCTACTTGGGAGCCAGGCCCACCCAATCAGAATGAGTTTTTCTCCAAAAAAGGGCTTTATTACAGACAGAAATACTGCTCAGTTTCATCAGCTGTCCGGCATGCTGGTCTCAGACGATCCCGCAGGTGCCGGATGTGGAGGTCCTGGGCTGGCGTGGTTACACGTGGTCTGTGGTTGTGAGGCCGGTTGGACGTACTGCCAAATTCTCTAAAACGATGTTGGAGGTGGCTTATGGTAGAGAAATTAACATTCAATTCTCTAGGCAACAGCTTTGGTGGACATTCCTGCAGTCAGCATGCCTATTGCATGCTCCCTCAACTTGAGACATCTGTGGCATTGTTGTGTGACAAAACTGCACATTTTAGAGTGGCCTTTTATTGTCCCCAACACAAGGTGCACCTGTGTAATGATGGATTAACTTGGCAAAGGAGAAATGCTCACTAAAAGAGATGTAAAAAAATATATAGAAAAAATTAAAGTGTGCACAAAATTGGCGAGAAATAAGCTTTTTGTGCGTATGGAACATTTCTGGGATCTTTTATTTCAGTTCATAAAACATTGGACCAACACTTTACATGTTGCGTTTATATTTTTGTTCAGTATAAATTGCCAAAATTATATAGCCTAATTAACCTACTACTGTCTATACAGAAATAAATAAAGTAATTCAAAATAGGCTATTAAAGCATGATTTGGCCACAGGATCATTAGCTTATTAAAAAAAAAAAAAAAAGTTATGGATTGTTCTAAATTGCATAGCCTACAGTCAGAAGGAAAGGCAGTGCGCCAAATACTAAATGCATGATTGTTGAGTTGCGACTGTCATTGAAAAGTAGAGGCCCAGACAGGCATATCACAATATTTAAAAATACAAACGCGGGAAAACATAGTTTGGAAAGGAAAATGGTTATAGCTGTAAAGAGAAGACAATGAAGACTATAATCTGTCTTTTAGTTATCAAAATTATCAATTTAATTGAGAGAACAGTATAGCCTATCTTATTGGCACCAGCCTATGGACAACCGCATTTTTATTGATCTTTGTCAGTATCAGCAGAGTAGACTACCCTGTCATTTTTCGTATTAAAAAAGATTCTGCTAATGTCTCCATTCAAATAAAGTGTAGTAGAATAGCATGAAATGTTTTCATAAAAGGCCACATTTTTTCAGTGCAAAGAAAGAAGAAATCTGATAAAGCCTAGGCTTACTTTACACTATACGCGCACAGCCATGCATTGAAGGTCTTTTTTACGAACAGTGATTGAGTTATTATTAGCCTAAATTATGACTATGTTCTCATCGCATTACAAATAGTACGCTATCTTACATAAGTCTGCAAATGCAATGATGCATTGGAATGCTTTATTAGGGCCCCGTGTAGCTCAGTTGGTAGAGCATGGTGCTTGCAACGCCAGGGTTGTGGGTTCGATTCCCACGGGGGGCCAGTATGAATTTTTTTTTATGCACTGACTGTAAGTCGCTCTGGATAAGAGCGTCTGCTAAATGACTAAAATGTTGAATTTGTATGGTGAAAATTAGCTTCCCCAAACTTGAAATTTACGCGCTGCCGGCTACACCGGTTATAAAGCAGATTAATGTGATTAATTGTAAGAATTGAACAATAAATATAGCAGCACAAGAAAGATGGGATCCACTTTTAAATAGTGGCCTGTCAGAACTGTTTTCACACGCGATTGCGCAATGACTGGGCTAATAAGAAAACGTTTCACTAGGCTCTGTAGGATATGTGCTCTCCAACCGTGTTTCAGGGGTCGTAGGCCTATAGGCTACGTTTGGAGTTATTTGTCCACTTTAGTTAAGATACAAACCTCATCAAAACGTATAGGCCTATGGGCTAGGCTACATGATGCATGTGACTATGATTTGAAAAAGTAATTTACATTTGAGTCATTTAGCAGACACTCTTATCCAGAGCGACTTACAGTTAGTGAGTGCATACATTTTTTATGTGCTGTTTCTTGCCTGGGACTGCACACGCTGTCACCTATCAGACTATTCTAAACGTAATCTTGTCTTTACATATACTAAATAACGTGTGAAATTTGTTATGATTTAGAATGGGCCATTATCATGCACCTGTTGGTTACAGGGGCAGGGGGAAAAATACATGTAATCCGTATTCACTTAAATAGCAAATGGAGGATGCCTTTCCTGCTGCTCATTTTCATGTCATCCCAGGTAGGCCACTCCAGTTATAAACTAAAGCAATGTGCTTAATATTAGGAAAGCTGAGAAATAAATATAGTAGGCCTAGCCTATAGAAAGCTGATGGGATCCTCCTCTTTTTAATAGACTCCATAAAAACGTTGTTTTGTCACGCAATTGCATAACCTATAGAAATGTTGCGCAACGTGGGCTTATGGGCTCTCATGAAGTGTTTGCATTGATGTTAGAGTAATTAGAGGGACAATCGAGCGCTGAGTACCAGGCCATTAGCGAATGGCAGCTAGTATATTGGGTTGGCTACTAATGACTCAGCGGCATCAGAGCGCAGTTTTCAAGAAGCCTATTTACTGTGACTAAATGGTGACATGGAATTTGACTGTGGTCATGACTCGTGACTGCCAGTGTGGTGGTAATACGGTCACTGTAACAGCCCTAGTTTTGACACGGCATTCTGGTGTTGTCTACCTAGTTCAACTTGGTTAGACATTTGATGTGGGTATCTCTAAAAAGGTATGTTTGGGCCATAGACAAAAGGCTTCAAACGGTTGTGAATCTTTGAAGTTGTCTTTTTGTCACATATTAAGTTCACAATAGTACCTCTACTGACCTTTCTTAAAATTGTATAGCACATTACTTGGTGTCATTCACATCTGCTTACCTCTTCCAACAACCAGTGGTATATCATTGCTATATTCTCTCCCCTTCCTCTATCCAGACGCCCAGGTGTGTCCCCAGCCCACCACTCCTCAGCTGCAGCAGCCTCCTCTGGAGGTCCTGGTGCCTGGGGAGGGGAAGGAGGAGATGCTAGGTAGTGCTCACGTCCGCAGCGGAGGAGGTGGTGGTGGAGGAGTGGTAGACCCAGTGAAGGTAGAGAGCATGGGAGGAGGAGCAAGTCGCCAAGCCAGCGGCCCCCCCGGACAGGGCTACTCCAAGTACCAGAAGTCCCTGCCTCCCCGCTTCCAGAGACAGCAACAGGTCAGTCTAATAACCTACTGAAGTCATTACCCAATGGTAAATCTATGGGTAATGATCTTATGGACAATATTTATCTTTGCTATGCTGCTCCCCAGTTTGCAGCTCCACTGAAATATATATTTAATTGGTCACTGGAAAACAGTCAATTTCCAAATGTATGGAAGCATGCTAAACTGTGTCTAATCCCAAAAGACAACAAAGAATCCCTTACGCCTGCCAATAGTCAACCAATCAGTCTACTCCCTTCAATCAGTAAAATATATTAGAGGGTATATTGAGTAAACAAATAAGGGAGTACATGGAAAATAATGATTTGATCACAGCCAATCAGCATGCTTATCGCAAAAACCATTCTACTACCACTGCATTGGTTGACATGACTGATCAATGGCTCAGTGCTATGGATGATGGCAAGTTTGTGGGTGTACAATTTCTAGATTTTATTGCAGTATTTTGATTGTGGGTCATGAAATACTTTCAACTGACGTTTTGCATTGTCTAAACGATAAGAAAATAAGTCATAAAATGGCGTGAATTCACAATTCAGATATGGTCCTGCGTATTACCCAATTATGTATATAAACCATTGGTAGTCCAGGCTACCTAGCAGACGGCTCTCACCTTACTGCAGTCCCCCACCCACTCCGCAACGATGGTATTGAATGCCGTTTTAGGTTCTCTGCTGTGTCACTCTCCTCCATGTTCTCAGTTGTCAGTGCATGGGACTTCATGTTCCACGTCTCTTCAATGTGATTTTACATTTTAGTCATTTTAGCAGACGCTCTTATCCAGAGCGACTTACAGTTAGTGATTACATTATTTATTTTTTTATACTGGCCCCCCGTGGGAAACGAACCCACAACCCTGGCGTTGCAAACGCCATGCTCTATCAACTGAGCTACATCCCTGCCGGCCATTCCCTCCCCTACCCTGGACGACGCTGGGCCAATTGTGCGCCGCCCATGAGTCTCCCGGTCGCGGCCGGCTGCGACAGAGCCTGGATTCGAACCAGGATCTCTAGTGGCACAGTTAGCACTGCAATGCAGTGCCTTAGACCACTGCGCCACTCAGGAACCACTGCAACCAGTGATGGCTGGTTGCAGTGATGTATGACAGCCTGTTCATAGATGTCCAACAATTTGTTGTTACGCCACGTTTGTACTCGCGCTTTGTACTTGCAGAGCAATCGTACAGTTTCTTCATCCAGGCAGTCATTGTTTTTTGACATGGCATCTTGTAGTCTGGTTGTAGATATGCCATCAGGGCAGTGAAGCAGACGTCCTCGACCATTGACAATGGCTGCATATCAACTGCAATAATTTCTGTAATATATTTGGGGTGGCCAATAGCGGCGATGGCATCGTATATCACAATGTTTTATGGGTACATAATCACGATATGACAAAGGTTGACATCGCCCAACCACGCACGTAGAGCTGGGCGATATGGCCTAAAATGAATACAAAAATTATAATCTAATTTATGGGCGATTCACAATATAAACTGAGTGTACAAAACATTACGAACACCTGCTCTTTCCATGAGACTGACCAGGTGAAAGTATGATCCCTTATTGATGTCACTTCAATCAGTGTAGATGAAGGGGAGGAGACAGGTTAAAGAAGGATTTTTAAGCCTCGAGACAATTGAGACATGAATGTGTGACATTCAGAGGGTGAATGGGCAAGACAAAAACATTTCAGTACCTTTGAACAGGGTGTGGTAGTACAGTGAGGGAAAAAAGTATTTGATCCCCTGCTGATTTTGTACGTTTGCCCACTGACAAAGAAATGATCAGTCTATGATTTTAATGGTAGGTTTATTTGAACAGTGAGAGACAGAATAACAACAAAAAAATCCAGAGAAACGCATGTCAAAAATGTTATAAATTAATTAGCATTTTAATGAGGGAAATAAGTATTTGACCCCCTCTCAATCAGAAAGATTTCTGGCTCCCAGGTGTCTTTTATACAGGTAACGAGTTGAGATTAGGAGCGCACTCTTAAAGGGAGTGCTCCTAATCTCTGCTTGTTACCTGTATAAAAGACACCTGTCCACAGAAGCAATCAATCAATCAGATTACAAACTCTCCACCATGGCCAAGACCAAAGAGCTCTCCAAGGATGCCAGGGACAATATTGTAGACCTACACAAGGATGGAATAGGCTACAAGACCATCGCCAAGCAGCTTGGTGAGAAGGTGACAACAGTTGGTGCGATTATTCGCAAATGGAAGAAACACAAAAGAACTGTCAATCTCCCTCGGCCTGGGGCTCCATGCAAGATCTCACCTCGTGGAGTTGCAATGATCATGAGAACGGTGAGAAATCAGCCCAGAACTACACGGGAGGATCTTGTCAATGATCTCAAGGCAAATTGGAAAATTATGTGGATATATTGAAGCAACATCTCAAGACAATTGTCAGGAAGTTAAAGCTTGGTGGTGGTGATTCTAACTGACCTAAGACAGGGACTTTTTACTAGGATTCAATGTCAGGAATTGTGAAAAACTGAGTTTAAATGTATTTGGCTAAGGTATATGTAAACTTCTGACTTCAACTGTATGAAATAACACATATGGAATCATGTAGTAACCCAAAAACTGTTAAACAAATCTAAATATATTTGAGATTTTTCAAATAGCCACCCTTTGCCTTTATGACAGCTTTGCACACTCTTGACATTCTCTCAAGCAGCTTCATGAGGTAGTCACCTGGAATGCATTTCATTTAACAGGTGTGCCTTCTTAAAAGTTCATTTGTGGAATTTCTTTCCTTCTTAATGCGTTTGAGCCAATCAGTTGTTGTGACAAGGTATACAGAAGATAGCCATATTTGGTAAAAGACCAAGCCCATATTATGGCAAGAACAGCTCAAATAAGCAAAGAGAAACGACAGTCCATCATTACTTTAAGACATGAAGGTCAGTCAATACGGAATATTTCAATAACTTTGAAAGTTTCAAGTGCAGTCGCAAAAACCATCAAGCGCTATGATTAAACTTGCTCTCATGAGGACCGCCACAGGAATGGAAGACTCAGTTACCTCTGCTGCAGAGGATAAGTTCATTAGAGTTACCAGCCTCAGAATCGCTCTGGATAAGAGCGTCTGCTAAATGACTAAAATGTAAATGTAAATGTAAATTGCAGCCTAAATAAATGCTTCACAGAGTTCGAGTCACAGACACATCTCAACATCAACTGTTCAGAGGGGACTGTGTGAATCAGGCCTTCATGGTCGAATTGCTGCAAAGAAACCACTACTAAAGGACACCAATAAGAAGAAGCGGACCCTGCTTGGGCCAAGAAACACGAGCAATGGGTATCAGACCGGTGGAAATTTGTCCTTTGTTCTGGAGTCCAAATTGGAGATTTTTGGTTACAACCGCCATGTCTTTGTGAGACGCGGTGTGGGTGAACGGATTATCTCTGCATGTGTATTTCCCACCGTAAAGGATGGAGGAGGAGGAGGTGTTATGGTGTGGGGGTGCTTTGCTGGTGACACTGTCTGATTTATTTAGAATTCAAGGCACACTTAACCAGCATGTCTACCACGGCATTCTACAGCGATATCCCATCTGGTTTGTGCTTAGTGGGACTATAATTTGTTTTTCAACAGGACACTGACCCAACACACCTTCAGGCTGTGTAAGGGCTATTTTACCAAGAAGGAGAGTGATGGAGTGCCGCTTCAGATGACGCAGCCGGCCGCGACCGGGAGACTCATGGGCGGCGCACAATTGGCCCAGCGTCGTCCAGGGTAGGGGAGGGAATGGCCGGCAGGGATGTAGCTCAGTTGATAGAGCATGGCGTTTGCAACGCCAGGGTTGTGGGTTCAATTCCCACGGGGGGCCAGTATTTAAAAAATATATATGTATTCACTAACTGTAAGTCGCTCTGGATAAGAGTGTCTGCTAAATGACTAAAATGTAAATGTAAAAATGACCTGGCCTCCACAATCCCCCGACCTCAACCCAATTGAGATGATTTGGGATGAGTCGGACCGCAGAGTGAAGGAAAAGCAGCCAACAAGTACTCAGCATATGTGGGAACTCCTTCAAGACTGTTGGAAAAGCATTCGTCATGAAGCTGGTTGAGAGAATTCCAATAGTGTGCAAAGATGTCATCAAGGCAATTTAACACTTTTTTGGTTACTACATGATTCCATATGTGTTATTTCATAGTTTTGATGTCTTTACTATTATTCTACAATGTAAAAAATTGTAAAAATAAAGAAAAACCCTTGAATGAGTAGGTGTCCAAACTTCTGACTGGTAGTGTAAGCTTTGTTGCACAATTTTAAGTCAATACACTACATTTCAAACAGTCAGGAATCTAATGTAAAATTATACCTAGGCAAAATTATAAGCCTTCCTTCCACAACCATAAGACCAACTAATAATGTCATTATTTTATAAAAATAGTTTATCCTGCTTTTTTTTGCAATAATCACTGATCTGTCTTTAATGTCTATCTATGAAAATCCCCTTTTTGTTACACATTGAACCAAAACCATGCACATCTAATAATGACCAACTTCTTGTAGAAGGTATTATAGAAAATGAACACAGGACTCATAAACCATCTCTAAACACCCGCCTACGTGCTAGTGAGTAGCCAGCTAATCTTTTTTAGTTTGTCTAGCCAACTTGGATCTATTTTCTAGCTAACAAGGTAGAACAGTTGTGAACCCTCCTCTCCGTCTCCAACTGTTTGAACTGTCCACTTTGTTTAGAGGTTGAAATCAAGTGGCCTACCTGGCTAAGAAGATACTTATTTCTCAGAATGAGAATGAGTTGTAAATTCCTTACATAAATGTGTATTTTTATGCTCATTACACGTTTATGAAACAGACTACACAGCTAGCACGTCTGTGGCTAAAATGCTGCCTGCTAGCGGTACCGCAAGGCCGCGCGCAACAAACTGAGCGTTAATTTTCCAGAATCAATGTTCATTGAGCAGGGTCTGTTTTAGTAGGGTCTGCTCTCTGTCAATGTTGTTAGTTGAGACATAAGGGTATCCTCTGTTAAAGTAAAATGTCTCAATGTGTTTCGGTGTACATATGACTGATTTCTATTGGACCAAACCTCAAATGCAAATAGCGAGTTGAAACTGCTCGTCAGAGAGGAAGACGTGATCTTTCATCTTTGTTGTTGTGAGTGGCTTGGTGTGTGTGTGTGTTTTAGTGGGAAAGTGCACACAGCAAAGAAGGAGCGAAGGAGACGAGACCAAAAAGACAACATGAGAAGAAGCGGACATAAAAGCTCATAAAAACGAAATAATGTGATTCTTGCGATACAGCCATTTGGAATTTTGCGCTAAAACGTACATTCAAATTAATCAAATTAATGCTATATCGCCCAGCCCTACACACATGATTAAGTCTCATTGGATGAAGCATCTGCTAAATGGCATACAGTGTATTCGAAAAGAATTCGGACCCCTTCACTTTTTCCACATTTTGTTACGTTACAGCCTTATTCTAAAATGGATTAAATTGTTTTTTCCCCTCGTCAATCTACACACAATATCCCATAATTACAAAGCAAAAACAGCTTTGTAGAAATTTGTGCACATTTATTAAAAATAAATTACTGAAATATTACCTTTACATATGTATTCAGACCCTTTACTCTACTTTGTTGAAGCACCTTTGGCAGCGATTACAGCCTCGAGCCTTCTTGGGTATGACGCTACAAGCTTGGCACACCTGTATTTGGGGAGTTTCTCCCATTCTTCTCTGCAGATCCGCTCAAGCTCTGTCAGGTTGGATGGGGAGCGTTGCTGCACAGCTATTTTCAGGTCTCTCCAGAGATGTTTGATCGGGTTGAAGTCCGGGCTCTGGCTGGGCTACTCAAGGACATTCAGAGACTTGTCCCGAAACCACTCCTGCATTGTCTTGGCTGTGTGTTTAGGGTCGTTGTCCCGTTGGAAGGTGAATCTTCTCCCCAGTCTGAGGTCCTGAGCGCTCTGGAGCAGGTTTTCATCAAGGATCTCTCTGTACTTTGCTCCATTCATCTTTCCCTCGATCCTGACTCGTCTCCCAGTCCCTGCCGCTGAAAAACATCCCCACAGCATGATGCTGCCACCACCATGCTTCACCATAGGGATGGTATTGGCCAGGTGATGAACGGTGCCTGGTTTCCTCCAGACATGACGCTTGGCATTCAGGCCAAAGAGTTCAATCTTAGTTTCATCAGACCAGAGATTCTTGTTTCTCATGGTCTGAGAGTCCTTTAGGTCCTTTTGGTAAACTCCAAGCGGGCTGTCGTGCCTTTTTAATGAGTGGCATCCATCTGGCCACACTACCATAAAGGCCTGATTGGTGGAGTGCTGCAGAGATGGTTGTCCTTCTGGAAGGTTCTCCCAACTTCACAGAGGAACTCTGGAGCTCTGTCAGAGTGACCATCAGGTTCTTGGTCACTTCCCTGATCTCCCCCGATTGCTCAGTTTGGACGGGCGGCCAGCTCTAGGAAGAGTCTTGGTGGTTCCAAACATCTTCCATTTAAGAATGATGGAGGACACTGTGTTCTTGGGGACCTTCAATGCTGCAGACATTTTTTGGTAACCTTCCCCAGATCTGTGCGGCGACACAATCCTGTCTTGGAGCTCTACGGACAATTCCTTCCACCTCATGGCTTGGTTTTGGCTCTGACATGCACTGTCAACTGTGGGATCTTATATAGACAGGTGGTGCCTTTCCAAATCATGTCCAATCAATTGAATTTACCACAGGTGGATTCCAATCAAGTTGTAGAAACGTCTCAAGGATGATCAATGGAAACAGGATGCACCTGAGCTCAACTTCGAGTCTCATAGCAAAGGGTCTGAATACTTTTATGTAAATACGTTTTTTTATTTTTTATAATCTAAAACCTGTTTTCGCTTTGTCATTATGGGGTATTGTGTGTAGATTGATGAGAAAAAAGTAATAATTTAATCAATTTTAGAATAAGGCTAACGTAACAAAATGTGGAAAAAGTGAAGGGGTCTGAATACTTTACGAATGCACTGTGTATTATAACATCTCTCCCACTCTGTGTCTTCAGGAGCAGCTGATGAAGCAGCAGCAGCAGTGGCAGCAGCAGCACAGCCAAGCAGCCCAACAGAGCCAGCAGCAGCTCCCGCCTCAGCAGGCCCCCCAGCAGCAGGGCCCTTCTCCGGGGGCCACCGCTCAGACCCAGGGTCCGAAGCAGCAGCAGTCAGGGCCCCTGCAGTACCCTCCACAGGGCTCCATGGGCCGCGGCCCCCCGCCCTTGCCCATGAACTTTGACCCACGCTGGATGATGATGCCCTACATGGACCCCCGGATGATGCAGGGGGGCATGCAGGGTCGACCTCCAGGGCCCATGGACTACTACCCGCCCAACATGCAACATGCAGGTGGGTACTCATGGTATTGTGGTTTGATACATGAAATGCTAAGTCAAGGAGTTGGCATTTTGTCATAGGGCTGAATCTGAATTTGCAGGTCAATGGCAGATTTGTGCAAACCAGATCAAAAATGTAGGATTTAGTCCATAGAGATTATGATAATGCAATAAAGTTTATATGCTATAAGACATTTACATTACATTTTAGTCATTTAGCAGACGCTCTTATCCAGAGCGACTTACAGTTAGTGAGTGCATACATTTTCATACTGGCCCCCCGTGGGAAACGAACCCACAACCCTGGCGTTGCAAGCGCCATGCTCTACCAACTACACAGGGCCCAGAAATGGCACCAGGTTGCCAGCCAAAATGTTTATAATTGAGTATGACTTTTTTCTAACGTGACACCCATCTCTTTTGCAGGGATGATGGGGAGAGAGCGCTCTGATTCGGGGGGCTCTGGTTCGGACACCTTCGACAGGCAGCAGCACCCGAGACACCCCCACCGTGGGACACCTCCCATGGACCCAAAACTGGCCTGGGGGCCCGAGGTGTTCCCCGGGGGCAGCGAAGGCAGGGGACTGAGCTCCCCTCTGAGACCGAAGCAGGCACTGGAAGAGGACGATGTCAGTGGCAAAGGGCCTAGGTAAGACAGAGGTCAAATGTCACTCACGATCATTTAAAGGTATACTTTTGACCCTTTATCTACTTCCCCAGTCTGATGAATTCGTGGATACCATTTTTATTTCTCTGCATGCAGTTCGGAGGAAGTTGCTAGTCATTGCACTAACGCTAGTTAGCGGTGGCTTGTGAAACTACCTCTAATTTCCTTAATACTGGAGACATAAAAATGGTCTCAACAAGTTCATCTGACTCTGTGGAAATAGATAAATGGCGGATCCCGAAGGATCCCTTTAATTGTCAAATCATACAATATGGTTTGAATAGGAAAATATGTATTAGTTGAAATCATATGAGATTATAAATATATGAATTCAGTCTGTTTTATGAGTACAGGATACGGTTTCCATAAGTGTTTTATTAAATCCCCGATTTTTATTTTAGGAGTGACACCCCTCCAGTCCGTGGTATGCGAGAGGGAGGGCCAGTGCCCATCCAGCAGCCCAACTCTGGCTCGGGCTCCTCCAACCAGACCCCACCCCCTGTGGGCACTCAGGTGGGGGGCCAGGGAGGAGGCAGCCACCACCCCCACCACCACCAGTCCTACATGGGCGGCCGGGGAAACTACAGCAACTTCCCCGACCAGGGCTCCCGCATCGCCTCCCAGCAGCAGCAGCAGCAGAGGGGGAGTGGTGGAGGCTTCAGCCACCAGGATGAGGGCCAGGGCCACAAGGGTGGCCAGCAACAGGGACAGATCTGGGGGGTCTCCCACCCCCACTACGACCACAACGGGCGAGCTGACCTCTCCTCCCTGGAGAATAACAACCTCCACCACCAACAACACCATGGTCATCAACAACACCAAGGCCCCTCCCACTTCCCCCTCCACCCCCACAAGCCCGAGAATGGCCGCGGTGAGAGAGGAAGCGAAGCCCCCAAGAAGGGTGACCCCTCGCCCCCGCTCCAACAGCCGTCCCTCTCCTCTTGCTCATCCTCCTCCTCGTCATCCTCGGCCAGGGAGGACGGCAGCGGCAAGGCGGTCTTGCATCTCCTCCCACCTCAGCGCAAGGCCGATACAGGAACCGGGCAGAGACATGAAGCAGGAAGCAGCAGAGAGATGAAGCAGGATAAGATGGGCCCTAGCCACAGCCACTCTCAGTCTTCTGTGACGTCTCAGCAGTCCCATCCTCAGTCCCAGCAGCAGCCCCAACAGCAGCAGAGGCAGGGCCAGGAGCAGCACCACCACCGTGACCCCAAGCCCAACCAGCGGGAGAAAGGGGGGAGGGAACACAAGACTGAGACCCAGTGGGGGCCACGGCCCGGCAGCAGCAACGCAGGAGGCCCCTCACACAACAGGAGAGCAGTGGGCGGAAACTCCCGCGGAGGGGAGGATTCATCCAAGCACCCAACAGCGTCTGACCACAACAAACCCTCCGGTGGCCAATTGGGTGGCGGCAACACCAACAAGAGGGCAGGGCCTATCAAGAGGCCTGTGCTGAAGGAAATGAAGAGAGAGGGAGGCGAGGGAGGAGAAAAGACCAGTGGAGGAGGCTCTGGAAAAGACAAAGAAGAAAGACAAGATGGAGGCCATTCATCAGTCAAGCAGGAAACATCCTCCGGCCCACAGAGCTCCTCTGCAGTGTCTGGTAAAGAAGAGCCGGCTCAGACCGGTCCCAAACCCAGAAACGGATGGAAGGACCGAGCGGGGAACGAACGAGGAGGAGGGGGGGGCAAGGGTCACAAAGACTGTGTCAACCCCACCCCCTCATCAGGGTACTCCGGCCCCCCTTCCAACAGGCGGGACAGAGAGCGCTCGTTCGAGAGGGGCGGGGGCGTATCCTACCATGGCGTCTCGGCCCGTGGCAGCAGAGCCAGCAGAGGACGAGGTGGCGAGTTCTACGGACGCGGCCGGGGTTACCGGGGCACTTACACGGGCACGGCCGGGGGTGGCAGCGTTAGCCGTGGCAGGGCAGCAGGCAGCAGGAGCAGCCGGGACTACCGAGCTGGCGGAGGCTACCACCAGGAATTCAATGACGAGGCATCGGGGGGAAGGCGCAGCCGAGGGGGGTCGCAGGCCAACCCGGGGCGCACCCGTAACCACAGCGAGACCCGCAGCGAGGGTTCCGAATACGAGGAGGTCCCCAAGAGGAGGCGGCAGAGGGGGTCGGAGACGGGCAGCGAGAGTGCCGCCAGCGACCTGGCCCAGTCGGACAAGGAAGACCGCAAGTCCAGCACCAAGAATGGCAGCGGCACAGATAACTTTACCAGTGGCGGCTCCGTCCCACCCAGAGGCTCCCAGGCCCGGGTGTTCACCCCCAGAGGCGTACCCTCTAGGAGGGGCAGGGGGGGTGGCGGCGGTGGGGGAGGAGGAGGCGGCAGCATCTATAGAAGTGGTGGAGGCGGAGGAGGAATGGCTGGAGGTCACAGGTCAGGATCCAGGGCCGACCCTCAAGGCTGGGCCACCAAGTCCTCAGCCTCGGTCCGCAAGCAGCAGGCCCAAATGCAGTCGTCCGCACCCAAAGACACGGGTCGTGGAACCAGCGGGGAGAAGGAGAAGGCAGCGGACGGAAGCCAAGCTCAGAATCAGGGAGGAGAAACCCCTCCACAATCTATCCTTGCTGCACCTACTCTAGCCCCACAGGACTCCATGGAGAACGGAGGAGTTGGAATCCAGCAGTCCACGTCTAATCCCACTACAAACTCCAGCGGCCCCCTTCCTCTCCCTCTCTCCGGCCCGGACGGGCGTGGCTTCCCTTGCGTCCCACGGGATGGCTTTGAGCGCCCCCCGAGACGCCGTCGCCACGGGCGCTCCCAGCACCAACAGGACAAGCCACCGCGCTTCCGCCGGCTGAAGGAGCGAGAGAACGCCGCTCGCATCAACGGAGGAGGAGTCGGGGTCATCGGAGGAGGACGACCTTCCTCGCCCTGCCAGAATTACATTCAGGATGTCACCGACGGCACTCACAACGCGGTGCCCACGACCGGCACTGCCCCCAACGCTAACCACAATGCTACCACAACTACCAACAACAACAGCAGTACCGGCGGCCATCTTGGAAACGTAAACAGTCACCACCATCACTACAACCAGGGCAACTCCGGCCCTGCCCACTCTCAGCGTCACCACAACCCAGCAGGGGGCGCCAAATCACCTGACTTCTCCAACCAGAACTCAGACCAGGCCAACGAGGAGTGGGAGACAGCCTCTGAGAGCAGTGACTTCACAGAGTTCCGGGAGAGGGAAGGAGGAGGAGGGAAGTCCTATTCCTCCCATCACCATCATCACCCACCCGGAAGAGGAGGTGGAGGCGGAGGCGGGGGGGGAGGAGGGGTCGGAGAGCGAGAGATGACTGCGAAGGAGCAGGCGGCAAACAAGAGAAGCTTCTCTAGCCAGCGTCCTGGTATGGAGCGACAGAACAGGAGGGTCAATGCTGGAGGAAGAGAAGGAGGAGGTGGAGGAAGAGGCCCGCGGGGCCCGCCCAGTGGGGGAGGAGGCGGAGCTGGAAACGGAGGGGGCCAACGCGGCGAGCGCCGTGGAAACTGGCCCTCCCCCAAAAACAGGAAGTGAAGTGGAAGATCTGGAAACATTTCAAATGCATCCCCCCCGCCCACCCCTCTTCTTTATCCCTTTCTGTCTCTATCATTCCTTCAGCCTCTATCTGTTCTCATCCCTTAACATATTAGCACATTATTGTACAATACATAGTTATGGAGACAGTGTACACACTCACGTTAAACCCCTCCTCGCTTCTTTCTCTCTTCATCCATCTGCTATCTACCGTCCGTTATTGTAGTGTCACTCTGCTCCCTCCCTGTCATGCTCCCCCCTTTTCAGTTGTCCCCCCCACCCTCCAGAATCCACCCAAATTTAGGTTTCAGCAGACACGCTTGTTCTGAACGCACACCTCTTTTGACTGAAAACATAAAAAAATAAACATGTTTGCATTTACAAGCACAATATGACATATAACAGACATACACAACCACGTGCAGTAGTGTGTGTGTACGCAGTGTGACATGTCATGATAAACATGTTGGAGGAATTGGCTAGCCAGGAGAAGGCAGATTTTTATATTGATGTTACCTGTGTATATTTCTACCACGGTTGGGGTGGTATTCGGTAGGGCAGTTATCTGCATTATATTTTCCCATATGGAGGGGAGGGGGGGGGGTTCTTCTTTTAACAAGAACAATTGTACCATAGATTATAAAAAATTCTCTACCTTGTTTTTTCCCCCTCCTTTGTCAGTTTTGTTTCAGCCCCCCCCCCCCCCCCCCCCAAAAGGTTAGGGATGTGTATTTTTTTCTTCTGCAAAGCAGGTCATTAAAATACCTTTTTATACAACTCTCACCTCCCTCTGAGTTTTTGATCTCCTGATCTGTTTAATTACTGTGACAGCCACAACAGACCAATTGAAGTACTACTGCTCACCCATCCACACTCTCCTCATATTGATTGTGTCTCTATCAATGTCTTTGCTGCTTGTTCAGAACTAGGCGGTGTGATTTAGTTTTTGTTGACCTGCTCTTATTACTTTCCATTGCTCTTTTGGTCCTGTTAGATAAAAGGCTCTCTCAACATAGCATTCTCTTCTCCGTTTTGCAGAAGAAAGATTCTCTCCTGTTCATTTTGAAGTTTTTAACCCTAAGAAGACTGAATTGATAGCTTGAATGCTTTATATATAGATATAAACATTTTCCATTTTCTGTGGAGGCCATTTTTTTTCTCAATATATATTCTCATTACATTTCTTGTCAGGGAAAAATGTGTTCAATGAAAATGCAAGTCACATTGCGAGAAGTAAATACAAAGTTATTTGCTCTTATTTTAAGATACTGTTTGACTATTCTTTTTACTTTGAGAAAATATTTTTTGCTTCAAGAGGTAAGAGTCCACACCTATAGTATAAAGAAATGGTTGGTGTATTTTTATTGAGCAAAGTTACATTATGCACCAGGTATTGTACTCTTGTTACAGTGCTAAGTTTGGCCATCGGCGTATTGTACTTTTATTATATTTACTCTGCTGTCCTACTCAATGCAGGAAGGCTCTCTACTTAAACACAACGAACTGCACTGTGCTGTAGAAGAGACATCTGTAACAAAAGTAAGGCAGGCAAGAGCTCCATATTGAGGAAGTATTTTCAAAGCGTACATTATTTCAAGATGGCCTTTCTAAAACCTCGATGGCAACTATATAGCTCAATTGAACTGAATCTTGGACTATGGTGGGCAGGGGTAAGGGTGGCCTGTTGTCACACCAGTGATTTCCCACATTTCCAAATACATTTGCAAGGTATAATATTATTCTCCAAGAGTGTTACAGGGAATACATGGGTTTAGAACTTTTGATGTCACTGACAGATGTATCACACAACTACAAAATGGCACACAGCTTGTTTTGAACATTTGATGGGGAGCAGCATCCACATTGAAATAGATCAAATTATAACTTCATCTGCATAAATGTTTCACAGCTTGTAAGTTGGGGTTTGTTTACTGACAGCCACCGTTTTAAGATTAGCTTTGGGATGTCGTGAGTAGGGCATTTGAGTGTGTGCATTTGTGTGTGCGTGCATTTTCTGGTGTGTATAATATCTTATGTGGATGGCGAACACTTCTGCCTTGTTTGCCCACACTTAGTTTTAACAACTATATTAAGACAATTCTACCATTTTTTCTTATATACATTCACGTATATACATTCAAGTGTGTGTATATGTTTATCCAAATGAAGTACATAATCAGTTCTTTGGGTGTATTGAAATGTTTACCATACACTCTAAGGCAGGCAAAATGAAGTGCGTATATATTTGGACTTCTACTAAGCATGACCACATCCATGGGTGCAGCTCAGCTTGCCTGCGAAAACATTGGTAGCCATACACTTAACACAGGCTCGTATGAGCCATGCATCCTTCCTTAACTCTTACTATTAATGTTCTCATATTGTATGTACCCATGTTTAAAGAAAAAAAATAGTGTATTCCTGAAAACCTCAAAGATTGTACTATATTTCCAGCATCACCAAGGTACCTGGAGTGGTTAAAGCTGTTCTATAATTTATGGTTTATTAATGGAACCGTAATATACACACATGTATGTATATTGGTATGTATCTAAGTTTTTGTCTACCCCCAACTTACATTCCCACAAGCAAATGTTGCCATTTTTTAAGTTCAAGGGAGCAATGTACAAGCTGAGGAGTGTCTTATTATAATAAAATTATACAGAGAAAGTTAAATAAACTTCTTTTGTTTTAATGGAAAATCTGTTTTTGTTTGAGTTTATTATGATGAATAGCCACCCCCTGTAAAGAAGAGGTGTACACTCAAATTAAATCAAATTATTTTCACCACCTGGGAAATGATAGGTGGTTCTCTGCACTGATACGTACAGTGCGTTCGGAAAGTATTCACACCCCTTGACTTGTCCACATTTTGTTACGTTACAGCCTTGTTCTATAATTGATTAAATTGTTTTTTCCCCTCGTCAATCTACACACAATACCCCATAATGACAAAGCAAAAACTGGTTTTTAGAAATGTTAGCAAATGTATTAAAAAACTAACTGAAATCACATTTACATAAGAATTCAGACCCTTTACTCAGTACTTTGTTGAAGCACCTTTGGCAGCGATTACAGCCTCGTCTTCTTGGGTATGACGCTACAAGCTTGGCACACCTGTATTTGGGGAGTTTCTCCCATTCTTCTCTGAAGATCCTCTCAAGCTCTATCAGGTTCGATGGGGAACGTCGCTGCACAGCTATTTTCAGGTCTCTCCAGAGATGTTTGATCGGGTTGAAGTCTGGGCTCTGGCTGGGCCACTCAAGGACATTCAGAGACTTGTCCAGAAGCCACTCCTGCATTGTCTTTGCTGTGTGCTTAGGGTTGTTGTCCTGTTCGAAGGTGAACCTTCGCCCCAGTCTAAGGTCCTGAGCGCTCTGGAGCAGGTTTTCATCAAGGATCTCTCTGTACTTTGCTCCGTTCATCTTTCCCTCGATCCTGACTCGTCTCCCAGTCCCTGCTGCTGAAAAACATCCCCACAGCATGATGCTGCCACCACCATGCTTCACCATAGGGATGGTGCCAGGTTTCCTCAAGACGGGATGTTTGGCATTCAGGCCAAAGAGTTCAATCTTGGTTTCATCAGACCAGATAATCTTGTTTCTCATGGTTTGAGAGTCCTTTAGGTGCCTTTTGGCAAACTCCAAGCGGGCTGTCATGCGTCTTTTACTGAGGAGTGGCTTCCGTCTGGCCACTCTACCATATAGGCCTGATTGGTGGAGTGCTGCAGAGCTGGTTGTCCTTCTGGAAGGTTCTCCCATCTCTACAGAGGAAGTCTG